GTTCTTGTTCCCCTCAGCATTCAATTATTGGTCGAGATCTCAACTGGATCCTCACCAATATGCAAAAGAAACTAATTTTCAGGCAGCTGGTTAGGCAAATACCAATCACGCTCTGTTGCGAAGCCAAACGAATATCACCTCCGTCTTCTCCTAACCAATTCCCGCCTTCTAGCTTTGATGGTGTTTTTATTTCAGTCGACATCGTATGTCTTTTCGAGTCACTTATCTAGTATAAAAACATGTATAACTGTTTTCGTATGTGCTATGCATTTAAGACATATTTGGCTTGTATGGTGACTTTCAAGAGTCTATCAATGTTTCAAATCAATACTTTTTATGCTTCCGAACAAGAGTAGTAGCAGTTTGCCAACCCCGGAGGGATGGAGGGCTTATTTTTCCACCACACAGGATCGCACCGAATGCGGGAGAACTGCTACCCACTATAACGTTGCTGAGATATTTGCAGAACTCTGGACCGCAGGTGTCTATGGTGGGGAACGAACGCGCTATTGTCCTTTACGGGGAGTAACGCGTTCACAACCACACCATGCGGGTCCTTCGTTTCACCTGTCTCTCAGCTATTTCTATCGATCTATAGAGTATAACAATAAAAAGGTATAACATTGTGATTTCAACTACAGCCGCAGCTTAACTGGGTTCTATGCCGATTTGGCGCCCCAGATCAATCCCGCTGACGGGTGATTGCTGTGGCAAAGATCGGTAGAAATAGCTGAGAGACAGGCGAAACAAAGGACCTGCATGGTGTGGTGGTGAACGCGTTACTCCCCGGAAAGGACAATAGCGCGTTCGTTCCCCACCATAGACACCTGCGGTCCAGAGTTTTGCAAATATCTCAGCAACGTTGTGGTTGTATTTCGCGTAGTACACTGCCGCGAAATTATAGAAGGCAGAAAATAAAAAGGTATAACATTGCTACCCACTATGTTGCAAGCGGGCTATCACTTCATATTTACTTAACCAACAGTCGTCTCGTTGACTTTTTACTTCTTGCCATCTTATTTCTTATTTTTGAACCGTTATTTCTTCTCTGCCACCTCATATGCTCTTTGCTATTCTTCTTTCTTTTTCTTGTTGACTAAATTTTGTGGTATTCTCTTCAGTCTCTATGCTCCTCTACTCTGTTTCATTGACTTATTTGTAACGTATTAAGTTGTTATGAAGCAAGAAGTAACGCATATCAAATCCTCGGATGCTCTACCTTTGCTCATTCTGTTGTATCATTCCAATTCATCCCTCTACCACTCATCGCCTCCTAAACTCACCCCTCTCTCCCCGTTTTCCTCTACTTTCCGTCCTCATCTGATGGTTTCGCTCCTGGTCGGTCCGTTCATTCGATGTTCCAGTGAATCAGCTTGTTATTTGACGATTCCCGTTGCGTTTTTATGATCAGTCAAGCAATGTTTTATCACCATGGCATTTTCATCCGTGAAGACATTTGCATGGTTATATCTCCTGCTGTTCACCAATAAGCGTTTCTTAAAACTTTCTTCTTTTAAACAATCTGAACAATCTTAAATCTCTCGAAAACATGTGTGGAAGACTGTTGGCTTACTAGGGACAGCAATCCCCGTTTGATTTTCCAGAACTTCCGACCTCTCCGAGGTATTTTTAACCTGCTTTTAGTGATCATTTCTATTCTGTTTGCTGTCTTTTCTTTTGTATGACCACGATGTGGTGAGAATTTGTTTAATAACTAAGTAAACAGTGAAGTTTTCCGATATTACTTGCTGTGATCGATTTTATACAAAGTAGTTAGGTCATTTTCATATTATGTGATAAAACAGCTGTAAAAGCTTAACGTATCTACGAGACAGAGAAAGAGAGGAGGAGAAAGGAAGAAAGAAAGAAAAAGAGTGAGAGATTACTTCAATGCTCAGATCCTTATATATGCTCCGTCATATGAATAGTACGTTGCCGATACAAGTCCCATTAAATAATATTTTACTGGTCGTGAAACTTTTGTCCCCTACAGACTCGAAACCCCCCCCCCCCCCCCCTCCCAACCAAAGGTTCACCGCCTCATTGTGGCTGGGAAGTGTTCCTGGGTGTTGGGCTCCGATGTACAGCAGAGGAATTCATCCCTCCAGCGGGATCTCCCAAGCTGAGGAGTCCGGCGTTTCCATCAGGAAGGCTAGCTAAGAGTAAACCAATACCAGGATCCACCACCATTTGATCCACAAGGGCTGCGACTGCCTGTGGTGGTGACGACCTGGGGCAGACTTTAACCAGGCTGTCCTCGGGACCCTAGTAACTACAATGGCTAGACCAGCAAGTCTCCGGAGAATGGAAATTGTGCTGGGGCTCGCACAACTAATGAATACGGGCCGTCCAAGTATCCAAGCAAGTACAGACCCGAAAGAGCTATACAAGGTTCGCCAGTCCTTTTTGACCAGAGGAATTTTTTGCCTAGCAGTGAGGTTTCTTAAGGAATGATAGCGATCCTTAACATTCTACAGTTTACGATCTGCCAGATTTCTGGATTGAAATTAGTAAAAGGGACTGGTATATTTTCCTTTGTTACTCAGTGAATTTTCTACTCCGGTTTTCAGTTAATATAAACTAAGTGGGAAATTCGTTGAAAATCAACGCGAATGGTTTCTGAACCCTTGAAATAGTCACCGAACAAAGGACGAATCAGAAAATCCATGCTTTCTTTCGATTGCTTATTCACACACTTCTTTCATTGAGATTGAAAACATTCATCTGAAAAATTCTTTCTACTTCTGTTCAGCAAACACCAGGTGCTGTTTTAAAAAAAAACTGAAACTCAAACTGCAGCTCGAGATAGGTGTAGAGGAAACCACAGGTATCCCAACGATAACTCTAGCGACAACAAAGTCCCGTTTATACTGCCCTTCATTTCAAATGAAGTAAGTGCAGCTATAAAACGCTGTTTAAGAAGGGCCAGTCTAGAGAATTCGGTAACGATAATCGAAATACTACCGAGTAATCTAAAGCGCCAGCTAGTTCGTAACCGCCTATACGACCGTATATGTGCAACGAAAAGTTGCATAATTTGCCCCAATGGTAGAGACGATGACTGCATGAGTTCGGGTATAGTCTATCTGATCTCTTGTAAGGCGTGCGGGGACGAATACGTTGGCGAAACGGGTAGACCACTCTGCGTACGTATAAAAGAACACCTGTCGGCAAACGTAAACCAAGTACTTCACTAGGTACGCATAGCACGCAGAAACATAACGGAGATTTTGAAGTAAGGGTTATGATCCCCGCCCAAGAATCGAGAACACAAGCGCGCAAAACTCTTGAGGCGTTCTGTATTAATTCCAAGAATCCGAAAATGAACCGCATGGAGGAATGCCTCGTTATCACGGGTGATATTGGACAGTATATAAACCTGTTATTCTGATGGCAGGGTCACATTACGCTTCCGTATGAATTCTGTGCGGTCGGTCTTCACGCGACATACTCAGTGGAAGACTCATAGAAAGCGGTGAGTGAGCAGGTTGTGTTAAATGTGATTGAAATCTTGGTTTAGCGTTTTCTCTGTTTGGTTATGGAGATGTTTGGCCGAATAGGTTGCTGTCAACTTGACCTTTCCAGGCTCTGAGGAGGGTAAAATCCGCCGAAACGTCAGCTTTTACGTAAATAAAGAAACAAAATAGCACCTCGTGTTTGCTGAACAGAAATAGAAAGAATTATTCAATCAATGCCGGGGTTAATAGATAGTCGGACTTAGGAGTTATTCATCTAAAAATCACTCCGCATAACCAGTGGTAGATGGAACCTCGCAATTGAGACAGTCTAGAATTGTACTATATTTCTATGATTTAGTGCATGAGACGTATTTAAAGTAATTATATGCTTTTCACAGCACGTGTGGCAAAGTGGTGCACTGAAATAGACGCGGCATAGTTGAGTTCAATCCACCGTCTTGGGTAAACCATGTCCTTTATCCCTCTGGGTTTCAAAAAATTGGCATGAGACTTGCCCAACATGGTAAAACACTGATTTGGTACATCGGTAAGCCGCAATAGTTCACTGTATAGGTCAGTTATGTATCCAATCACCTCGATGATATTACGAGTGGGGTCACATGCGTGGTGCATCCCTAAAGGAGATATGATCTCCAATCGCTTTATCTTCTTATCCTTTATAGATTTGTCGTACATGAAGCTACGATGATAGATAAACGAGAAAGCGACTGGATTTGTTCTGAATATGACCTCGATAAGGATCATCAACGAATTGAGCCGACGTGTTCGGTGAATGTGCGACGGAAATCTGAGCAGTCCAAGACCACTGACTTATTAACTTCGGCGTTCTTAGTTCAGATTTCTTCATTTCACAACAATGAGCTTTTTGCTGGTTTCGTATAGTCTTAAGAAATTTCTAGTCCCTAGGATCCATTTAGTTTTATAAACTATTGAGGAATGAGCTGCTGTGACCATTGGTATTCATGTGACCAATGTCCACATATCTTTTAATCATTTTTGAGGTGAACAAGTTCCATACTTCTAGTTGGTGATTTTCGTTACATTACAGAATAAGAATTGAACGCAAATGCCATGCATAGATGAATTGGCGGTGGGAAGTTCCGTCCAGAAATTTTCATCTCCGCCAGTAATCAGCTGATAAGCTGATGTTGTGCTTTAACAGTGGCGCTGATAATCGCCATGACCAAACAACATGACTGATCATACCGGTGCTTGTTATGATTTTATTCGACATACAGCATTTCTTTGTTTTCCTTTCTCTCAGACCTTTCTGCTCCCATTCGTTAACCGATCGTAAAACCCCCCATTGATTAACCGATGCGGTTTTCTTCTACTTCATATTCTTTTGAAGTAGAATCAGTCTAATGCCATTGCTTTTATGTAACGTTTTTTTTTTTAAATTCATGAGAATTTCCCTATATTTCTTTCAGTTACTTGGTCCGACGCGATTTGTTCTTGTTGGTGATCCAAAAAGTCAACTGTTTAATAATCTATACTTGTTAAGACTGTCAGCGATCCGTGATGGTATTGCTGGAGTCGCCGTCTCTAATAGAACGTGCTGAGCTAACACGTCCAATTCCGGAGAACGCCCGAAAACTCGCACACCTCGTCGAGGTGCACGAAAAGCGAACGGAAGTGGGCGTGAGTTTTCTCGGTTTTTGCTTTGCCTTTCTAGCGTTTCATTCTTGAGCGATTCTGATGAGCTCCATCCAAGTTGCCAGTGATAAATAAAATTCCTTCGGGGAAGCGAATACGTAGTAACTAACGAATTCCAAGCGTTTTTCTCATTCCACAAGGGATCAGGTTTCTTTTTTGACAGGTAAACTGCTTCGGAGAAGAAATCAATACATAAATACATGAGGACCTCTGCGACCTAATAAAAATGTCCAACCCAAGTAGCGTCAGCAAACGGTGGTTCTTGACTAGCTCAGCTGTTGCGATCTTTTTTTGGATGTGTGATACAAATCATCATGGACAGTCTGCACCAGGCTGGTTCGAGTTCCTCTACTTCATTATTGAAGTGGATACATCGATTTGAAGTGATGGTACTACGATCCAAGTTGGTCGATCGCACTTCATCCACTATGTTTGTGTATGTAGTTATCGTAGAGTGATGTGCAAACGGATAAGAGGAATCAAGAAGACTCCATTAGAAAGCGACAGCCAGCGCCATTCAAATGCAAATCGCCGTAGAGAAAAATTCCCATCTCAATCAGCCAGCGAAACATCGCTAATGTGAAAGGAGATGATCTCGCAGACAAACCGATTCGACTGGGGCTTTGGAAACGTAGTAGGTTTAAAAAGTTCAAGAACCAATTAAACTGAAGTGGCACTGAATAGGATTCGATTCATCGTTTCTGAAACTTGATTCCTTTGCTAGTGTCTGTTTGTCAAGCGTGTGTAGCGCTGTGGTTAGAGAATCCCAGAACTGATTTTCCATTAACTTCAGCATCGATCAATAACTCGTTGTTGTCTCGTTGATCAGACACAAGATTATTATTACAGTACTTATTCACTCAAAATAGCCGACGTTTCGGCGGTTTTGCTTTCTTCAGCACCTAGAAATGTCAAATTGACACGCAGTCTACTGGCTCAAACTTTTTCATAACGTCAGCAAACAGAATTTAACACATAGTTTTCATCTGCATGGTAAACACTTTTTAAACATCCACCATTTTGTTTCTTGTAAACCTTCCAGTTATTTGATGGAGACGAGCCGCATAGAGCCTTACAAGGGCGAGCGATGAGACCCAAGTCAAAAAATCAGTCTGAGGTATGGAGTAAGGTCAGCGGCTCAAGGCTTCATAGCCATTCAAAATGCTTAAATGGCTTGCCGCGCCAATTTCAGGGATTCCTCGTTTTGCACTCTTCCTTTGCACACGGTGACTATTCGAAACATGTTTATCACAAGCGCGCGTATTTATGTGTGAAGAGTGAGAGGAGTGGTAATAAACCAGTATATTTTTCTTGCTTAACTTCCAGTACTATTTGGTTATGTGATCGTTTTTTGACGGGTTGATTTCAGCGTTCAAGAAGTGAAGCCAGCCTTTCTTTGGTTTGAAATTCATCTACTCTGTTTGTTTAGGAATTCAAAACATTTGTCCATCTCCTCTTGCGTTGAGCAAATGACAAAACATTGTATGTAAACGTACAGTAGGGCAGTGGGGAAGGGAAATGCGCAGAATAAGAGGCTTAAATTTTAGACACAAAGGCAGTATCAAGGCCTGTTTCCAGCCGCTGTCTCATTGCTAACCTTCCCATTTATGTGCAATATTTCCTGGAGCATCTGAAAAATGAGCAGTTTAGGCACTCTTTTGAGAGCGCCGTGAACTGCTGAATGGAGAAACTACGCATATTTATTACTCTTTCGTGTTCTACAAGGAGTTTGAGGGTGGCTTGCGTAGCGGTGTCATTTGACACGTTAGTATATATGGCGCTGTCGAAGGACTCGCTCACGTACGCGCGTTAGATAGACGATCCAGGGGCATCGGGGTGTTCCCGATATGGGCTTAGATATGCTTCAACGATACGATAGATTTTATTATCCCTGTTAGCCCGTCTACATAACTGATGGTGCATCTAACCTTGAATAATTGATTGGATACTAATTTATAAGAGGTCTGATAAGTAATCATAAGACGGGACATGCTGGTAATCGAACTTTGAGTTGTGAAATAACTGATGGGTTTAAAGCTACCGCTTTTTCCACTTTGACCCCCCGTTCATTGTTTAATTTTAGACACTGGATCTTAAATTCCCTCTTGGATGTTGGGCGATAGAGGGAAGCATCGTGAATATGTTTCTCCGTTATCTCGAAATCTAACTGACCAGAAATGGCTGTAAGGTCTCCACCGTTATTGCTAACTAGTGGTCTAATAGTTCTTGATTTTATTGCTATTGTAAAGCGACTTTCATTTAACCTCGGTATCAATGATCAATGTGCTTTTTTTCATCGATAAGCTAGGACGAGGCTTTTACCAGCCATTTATTCGACTAGTGTTTCGACGTCTTCATCTTCTTCAGAGCCGATGATTCGAGTGGGTGATCAACAGTCGTTTATTCTCTCGATGTGGAGTCCTCGTAGATTATCATCATTATTGTTATGGCCCTGCGATTTTATTAGTTCTCGGACCTGTTATACACTGCATGTACAACACATTTTTGCACTACTATAAGGTTGGAACTAAACTTTTTCTTCCGATAATGGTTGAGGATTTGAGAGCTGCATCTGAAAATCTGCGAAAATTGATGTCTTTTTCACCGTTGGAATCATGTTGTCTAAAGAATGCTGGAGGAAGAGGAGGTGGTGGTAGTGCCTCCAGTTCTTGTTTTTAATTCCTATGCGACGTCTCTAATCTAGCTTTGTAACGCAGTCGGTCTTGAAGGTCGTGCAGACTTCAAAGTTTCTTTAGAAATGGGTTGCACTGGTGAGAAACTTCCACACAATTATAATAGCGAGCTCGGGCCATCAGAAAGAATCAAGCCTGCTAATACAGTGACCCTTGACTTTTCTTGCTGCACACCGAGATGCCTTGCAGTATATACATGGTCGTTGGCTAGAATTCACGCTTTGGGCTTACTAAGCCTTTCATCCTTCTGTGATGGGCAACTTGGTACTGGACTTTTTTGGGAGTATAGGAGTTCTGACGACTTGATACATGAGTAGGCTACCACAAGTTATTGTATAGGTCAGTTATGATTCAATCACCTCTAGCAGTTCACGGTTAACTGGGATGCATAGCGCATCTCTCAGAGATTGGTCAAACGCTAAACGCTTTTTTACACTTTGTATCAGTAAAAAGTACTTTGTCTTAAAGGCTGACTTACTCTTTTATTCCCGACAATATATTCTTTTTAAAGTACTTTCCCCATGTACAGTTTCGCAGCTATAACACCCGGTAACCAAGTCTACCATAGCTCCTTATGTCTTTTTTGGGAGGAAAAGAACTCTTACGTGGGCTCTCACAAATAAGTATTTTATAGGTGAGATAAGAATTCAATCACCTCTACGATTCACTCGACTCCAGTTATGACACCATAGAAGTGATTGAATGCATGTTTGGCCTATACAGTGGCTTGAGGGTCTATGATGTATCACGTCAACGTTTTTATCCCTGAAAACAAATCGGATATTCAAACTGAAGGCCGACTTAGTTAAGACAAGGAGTGAGGATTGGTATCGAACCATCGACCACGTGTTTATTGCAGGCACCTCTTACCACTGTGCTTAGGGTGCAATTATCTTCATTCCTTCATGCCCTATCTTCAGAATCATAGCGTATTCTATCGAGAGGCACAACCACCTGATAGCCACTACACAAAGGCAGTCATCGTATTTTTGCATGGACAATCGTACTCTTCTTCAACGTGGATGGATCGTGGGTGGGTTTCGTAGCCGAAAATTCGAGAAGGTCAAAATCTGGTTTACTTTCGTAATTTTTATCAAGTTACTGGATAGTCTTAGTGTTTAGAGTAAGCTTTCAAAAATAAGACCTTACTACGGAATTTCTGTGTGGCCATCTACAAAAAGATAAGAGAAATAGATATCTTTACAGGTCGTTGAGTACTTTTGCCGCTCTAGGTTATCATTGCATAGCGCCCGATCTCCCCGGTTCAGGACAGGTTTGTCTAAAATCAGTTACGGATTATTTTTTTTTCGAAAATCATTTATGTAAAAATGACACTACTTTTAGACTCGTGGACCAGCATTGAGTGTGCATGACAAGCCGCAATTTTTACTTTCATTTCTAAGTGTACTTGGTGTGAGGCAGGTGAGATTGTCACTAATAATAGGCACCACTAAAATTCTACAGTAATCCTTAAATTCATCCAAGAGTAGTTTAAGCTTGTTAGCGATTTTGTTCGAAAACCAGGTCAGACTACGAGCTTGCCGTCCAGTACTGTTAATTGACTTCGAGCTCTGGCATGGATAAAATTACTGTAGTTATCTCTTAGGTTATTGCGGTGACAGCGTCTATGGCAGCACAATACGTACTACCACTTCTGGCAAGGGACATCTTCGTATGTGCTGTCGGTATCGCCCCCTCAAACACACACGAAATTGTTCAACCGGCTCTCTACAGGACGCCAATCCTCGTTCTATGGGGTGCGTTACGTGATCTACCCGCGCCATACACAGCGCGCGCCATTATCCTGACAATCGACTCTTTTTCTCTCTCCATGATTGGTATCTACACCATCCACATAGGAAATATCAATACCATCGAACTTCTTGTGGGTTGATTCTTTGTCCAAACTTTTTCCCTTCATTTAGGAGACTATGACACTTCGTTAGGACCGACAGCAGCTGCAAATCTTCGCCTCCTTCCAAACGCCCGACTTCACAAAATCGCCAATGCGGGCCACGCTTGCTATCTGAACAATCCACAGGCGTTCGAAGAGGTATGTGTGAACTTCTTCGATCTGATCCGCAACTATCATACTTTGTGATCTTATCAGTCAATAGTCTCGTCAACAAATTCCTCCTTCATTGTTGCCATTTTGAACAAGTGCTCAACATTTTCAATGAGAATTTTCATGAATTTCCTTTTGATTCCATCGGTCCTCTTTGTAATGTACGTGTAGGGTTTTTTTCTTTTTGGTTTTCACTATGCAAATAGGTTTTTTATCATTCATGGCGATATCAGCCAAATCTTATCCGTGCTAAATTTGTTCCAGTCTAAGTAATGTCGATTATGTTCTAGAAATTATTCGCTTCTCAGATTTTTCTACCATTTCTTGTGTGTTCATATTGGTATCTCGTCTTTCCCAGTGTATTATAATCCCTCCTTTGAAGCCTCACTTTTGCCAGTCCGGTTTTTCTTCATCACTAGCTTTTTTTAATTGAAAATCCGACAGATTATGGATTTAAAATAAATATTGATTCGTGAAAAAATTGTCAAATTGTCAAGACACGATGTTAATATGTATGTAGGCTTCAGTTATTTGACGACAATGATGATCAATGTGGATCTCTTCCACGAATTCCTTAAGGCCCTGGCCTGCGCCCTCCCAGACACGTCAAAACCAAAGACGTTAGCCTGAGAAGCAATGGTTTAAGATTCTTAAAATAATTGTGACAACGCCTGGTTTTCCACCTCATGAGGCATGTGTTTGACTCAATGCATGCAGTCCAATATGTTCTTCAAACCCGAGACTTCTCGCCTATTTTACCAACAAGAGTCTGTGTGACAGTTTCATCTCCAGAGCAAGCAAGGAGTGGTCATGTGTCTCACAGAGAAGAACAAATTCAGCGGAAAGAATGTTTCTTTTGCATTGAATGTGTAGGAAAGGATCTTTCTTGGATAATCACACCTGGAAGAATGTTGGTTGGGAATGAAGCTATTAATTTACTAAGAAAGATATGGCCGTAAAACGTCTTGCAACAAACGAAATAGTCGGAAAGAGATGTACTGAAATCGAAACATGTTGTGCAAAATCACATTCACTCATGCATTGGAATCAATGCACTGCCTTAACTCTTTTATTTACTGCCTTTTTCTTCTTAATGGCAGGGTATGTTGCGAAATATAACTCGTATGAAATGCTGAGATATTTGCAAAACTCCGGACCACAGGTGCATGCAATGGAGAACGAACACGCGCTGTTGCTTTACCGGGGAGCAGCGCACTTCACCACTACACTATCCGGGTCAATGCACTGCATTAAAATTTGCACTTCGCAAATTTCTTAACTACTTTTGAGATGATAGTATATCTCAGGAGTGAAAGAAGCTGTGGTTAGTCTACAGCTTAATGTTATCTACTGTAAGGTCGACATTTCGATATCACCTCTATAATGGATTACATCGTCCATTTAAATTTGTCTTAGGCACATCATACATTATTGCCACAGGTAGAAATTGACCTTAACCTAACACTGGTGTAAATTTAGAACACTGATTTACCCAGTTTCATTTCAAAAAAGATTAAATTTGATACAAAGGAAGAAACAAGAGCCCTTAGGAAAAGCTTGTATTTCCATGTGGCCAAAGAAAAGCAACAAAGAATCAGGTTAAGCACTAAAGAGACTGCATGACTTAGATGGTAAGCTGTCAGAGAAGGAATAGAGAAAGGAAAGGAGGAAGAAAGAAAAGAATAAAAATATTTTGGCACATTTGATTGAAAATGAATGAAGATAAAAGCTCAATCACCATCGTGTTTATTGATCGTTTGAAAACTGTGGGCCGAAAAATCGATATGAAAACCATTGTGTAGATAGATTGGTCAATAAGATGAAGGCAAAATCTAGCAAAGTGAATCAATGAAGCGAGATCATCTCAAAATATAAAGAGGAGCAATAAAGGGAAGACATACATCCACAAGAACACAAATAATGAATAACGACAGACAAGAAATTCGTTGAGAACGCATCGACTTGTTAAAGCACTTTCGGGAATCTCGAACCCTCAGCAGCGTCCAGATTGTTGACAGAATAAAGAAACAATCAATAGCTACATTTAAAACCAGTGTAAATATACTAAGCCCACCAAGAATTGCGAGGAGATCAAATCAGAAGTGGATCAGAAATAATCAATAATAGAGGCAAAATCCTCAAAGGGAATGTATAAGCCACTTTCTTATTCAATGAAAGAAAGCTAGCATAATCACTTTAGTGGTGTTTTTAATTCGATGATGAAAAAGTGCACAGTGCAAGAAAATGTATGACAAAAGGTGAGAACTGAATTTCGTAAACATTAGTTTTGTAATTATTATGGCTATCACAAAATAGCCTATCGATTTCTCTGAAGGGTACATCAATGAAAAATCTTCACGGAAAGTTACACCCAGATAGCAAAACTACTTGGTGCTTTATATTTCTTCTCACCACTGTCTCATGGGAGAGCGCTATCACAATTTAACCACCATAGCTCTGGTCACAGTATGATTATGGAATCGTTGCTGAATACAGAACAGTACCATAATTTTTTGGAAATGAGTATGGAGACCTTTGGTATGGACGCGAAAGCTCCTTAGTGTTCTTAAGTGCTGTCATCATCCGACGTCCCCAAATATCCCGGCAAAAGTTCTCTTCAGTTGTCCCATGGTGTCGTCAGCAAATGAGGATTGTGATGTTACTGTCGGTTGCGATTTTATCTCTTTTGGTTCAAAATTCTCTGTGGGCTTCCTATCGACACTGGGTGTCCGAATAGCATGGTGTTCCACTCGGGACTCACGTGATCGATCGATGGACGGACGAGACGGTAGGCGAGGTGGCGGAGCAAGAACGGCGCGTAGAAGTACTGCTGCATTCCGTCGATCGTCTTCTTGTGATTCGCCAAATAATGCTGTAAATATATTAACTATATGCATGCTAGATGTAACAAAAATATATTTTCAGAACAGGAAAGACAGCTAATCTTTTTTGTTTTTGCTTTTAAATGACCCGTTATCACATCTCCTGTGCGGATTCCAGCACTTGATGCGTTGATTCATTCTCCTTGCATTCATCGTCCACAAGATCTCCAAACATTTCACATGCCTCTTCGGCTGCACCTTGAGGATTTCTTCTTCTTTATGAATGTTGTCAACGCTGGTTGAGTCTATTCTCCTTGCAAACTTGGAGATAGCGGAGCTAGAGCGTTTCCACGCGAACCTGAGAAGAGCCTCGATGAGGTGGGCGAACCAGGACTGCTTTCCGATGGGCTAACCATCACGCCAACCATCTCCCATTCCCAGCAAGGCTATGGCCCTAGGATAGTTATCATTGCCAAATATACGATAGACGCATCTTTTTTCGATATAAGTCCGACAAATTAGGATCATCTGTACTAATGACGAAGGGCATACCAGTGAGAAATGAGTGAAAATGAGAAGGCATCTATCTGCGTAGCGATCGCCACGATTGGTATAGGGAAAAACATCAACGCTACATTTAGGCCGGCTAGTAGCTAATCGTGACTTACCAATGACGTCGTTGATGTCGTGAACGTATTCTCGTCCGTCTTTTGAAACCAGTATGTCTATTGAACATATTGACATTCGGCCGACATGCTCACAAATCGCATGCAAATATTGTTTATGCCTGTAAGGACACAACATTATTATAAACAGGAAGTAAAGCAATGTTACCTCAGCATCATTGAAGTTATATTTCGCAATATACCCTACCATTAAAAACAGTAGGCAGTAAACAACAAGTTGAACTTGTGACTATAACTACAGCCTCAGCTTAACTGGGTTCGTTGCCGATTTGGGCTCCCAGATAAATCCCACCGACGAGTGACTGCTGATGGCAGAGATCAACAGAACTAGCTGAGAGACATGCGAAACGAATGATCTGCATGGTGTGGTGGTGAATGCGTTATTCCCCGGAAAGGACAATAGCGCGTTCGTTCCCCACCGCAGACACCTGCGGTCCGGAGTTTTGCAAATATCTCAGCATCATTAGAGCAATGTTAATAATAATTCGGAATGCTGACTTTCTATAAACGTCGGCATAGATAGTTGATATATTTATTTTTGCGGTCTTATAAACTGATCTTCTTAAGCTGACGCGAGGTTGGTACAGGTCTTCGTTGTCGTTGTCGTCGCTTTTGATGTTATTGATCGATGGCTGACGTTTCGGTGATTTCGCCTTCCTCAGAACCGTGATGTTGTGGATAAATTTCCATCAAAAACAACGACAACAACAACGAAGACCTGTACCAACCTCGCGTCAGCTTAAGAAGATCAGTTTATAAGATCACATAAATCAATAAGGCAATGTTATTTTTATCACATCGACATCGATAACCTTCAAAGTGAACCGATCTAAATAAGTAATCGAAAAATATCTCAGCATCACTGCAGTTACATTTCACGTAGTACCTGCCAGGAAAAAAGTATTAGGCAGGAAGTGACACATTGTGATTTCAACTACGGGATCAGCTGAATTGGGTTTAATGCCGATTGTTACCACTCAGATCATTCCCGTTGACTGGTGATTGGTGGTGGCACCTTTAGGGTAAAAAAACTGATTGAGAGAAAAACAAAACGAGGAAGTCTTTGGTGCAGTGCAGTGGGTAAAACGCCTTTAGTACCAATAATAACTACTAGTAACACAGTAGCCTTCAGAAAGGTTAGTCGCGGGTTCTAATCTGGAGTGGGTCCGAGCTTTGCAATTATCTCAGCATCATTGTAGTTGAATTTCACATATTCCCTGCCAAGGAAAAAAAAATAGGTAGTAAATGAATAGTTATGCATTTCAAACGGACCCAAATACCCTTTGCGTTTATTGATTGGTTGAACGATATTAGACAGACGTAGCCTGTAGGTCAACTTAAGTTTGTTCGTACATGAATAAATTATGGCGGCTGAAGACGTTAATTAAACCCCTAGGGATGACGCCATGGATTCGACGCAATTTACAACAGCATAGAAGTGACTGAATACATTTTTAGCTTAAAAAGTAACTACCTGCGGCCTCCGATGCTCCAAGTCGGGTCAGCTATCCTCCCGCACAAGTCTGCTATCAAGTTGTCGACGTTGGAGTGATAGAGGGTCTCAGACGGAACCAATGGCAATGTGTGCACTACAAGGTACCTCTAACCAGTATGCGCACTCCAGGTCTTTCACGAATGGATTATTGCTTACCAGTCAAAAAAATGCTATTACATTAAAATGAAAAGGATAAAACTTTTGGCGTTGATCAATCCCTGAGGGATGCATTCGACTTCATTAAGCATCGCTGGAAATGATTGCATGCATATCTTCACAATGACGCGCAATGACCAGCCGATGTGCCGAGCCAGCGCTGCGAACCTTCTAGACAAGTCTAGTACCACTTTTTCGAACCCGGAAGGTTTTAAGGTTAGGCGGGCCTGTGGCGCGATGAACGACTACATGCATATTACAGTTCGCCTCCGACCAGTGCGCTACACGCGTCTTTATGGCATCACATGCCTTAATTTGTAATACGAGAAGCTGCTTTTCCTAATAGCTCAATAAGCTGCGAATTTGAATATATTTACATAGACCGTGGACGATCCTCAACAAAGGATAGCTGTTTAGGGAAACTAAAAACAACTGTGAGAACAAACGAAAAATTTAGAGATTCGTAAAGAGCAGCAAAATTTTCGATTATTATTGAGCATGAAATATCGAGGGCAAACCGTTCATTTGTAGAAATCTGTTCGAGTACTGCCGATCCAACATTACTTTTCCAGCTTTTGGATATTCCTCTACGTAAGAACGTTTTCATTTCGTGACCAATTTTTTGAACGTGAAGATCGAATTTGATGTCGACGAATGGCTCGACTTCTACCTGAAAACGACATTGCTCTTCTTAGAATGATTCTATAGATGTATATAGAGAAAATAACAAGTGGAGTGGAAAGCAAGCAAAACTAGATCGTGGTGGAAAAACAAAGCACTGAAAGCTTATAAGCAAACATTATGAATAGCTCTAAATGTGACAAAAAGCAAGGACAGAAACAAGAATGGAAACAAGAATTGGTACAAGAACCAAAAAACCAGAAAAAAGGAATGATATAGGGTTAAATCGTCCTCAACAAGAATAAGGAATAATAAGAAAGAGAATAGAACCATAACTATGCTGGGATACAACCACAACGTTGCTGAGATATTTGCAAAACTCTGGACCGCAGGTGTCTATGGTGGGGAACGAACGCGCTATTGTCCTTTCCGGGGAGTAACGCGTTCACCACCACACCATGCAGGTCCTTTGTTTCTCCTGTCTCCCAGCTATTTCTATCGATCTATAGAGTATAACAATAAAAAGGTATAACATTGTGATTTCAACTACAGCCGCAGCTTAACTGGGTTCTATGCCGATTTGGCGCCCCAGATCAATCCCGCTGACGGGTGATTGCTGTGGCAAAGATCGATAGAAATAGCTGAGAGACAGGCGAAACAAAGGACCTGCATGGTGTGGTGGTGAACGCGTTTCTCCCCGGGAAGGACAATAGCGCGTTCGTTCCCCACCATAGACACCTGCGGTCCAGAGTTTTGCAAATATCTCAGCAACATTGTGGCTGTATTTCGCTTAGTACCCTGCCGCGAAATTATAGTAGGCAGAAAATGAAAAGGTATAACATTATGCTGGGATATTTGCAAAAATTCGGACCGCAGGTGTCTGCGGTGGGAAGTGAATGCGCTATTAACCCTTCTGGAAGCTAATGCGTTCACACCATGAGGGTCCCTTGTTTCGCTGGTCTCTCAGCTAGTTTTCTATCTATCGGCGCTATCAGCAATCACCTTACAATTACCCTGTAAAGGATAATAGCATGTTAATTCGGCACTGGAAACACCTGCGGCCCGGAGTTTTGCAAATATCTCAGCATCATTATGATTGTATTTCACATTACACCCACCCGTTAAAAATTCCAGTAGGCAGAAAATAAAAAATTGATAAAGAGAGTACTTGGATACTTGGACACTTGGACAGCCCATACTCACTGGTTTTGCGGGCCCCAACACAATCTCCATTTTTCGGAGTTTTGCTGGATTAGCCATTGTTTTCCTGGAGTCCTGAGGTAAGTCTGGCAAAAGTCTCTTCCAAGTCGTCACCAGAGTCGCCACGCTTGTAGATCACAGAAAGATTTGCACCATGCGACTACTTTGATACAAGGACGGTGGTGCACCTTGGTATTGGTTTACTCTTAGCTGGGCTTCCTGATAGAAACGCCGGACTCCTTCTTAGCTCGGGAGACCTTGCATGGCGGACGAATCCCACCGCTGTACAACGCATCCAGGCACCCAGGAACATCTCCCAGCCACGATGAGAGGTAAGCCGCTGGGGGAAAGAGAATAGAATAAATATACCACACATTAGAGTGCAAAATGGCGGCACTATATACTAAAGATGACCGAGAAAAGAAACTAGAAAAAACCACACTATAATAAGAAAAAGGGAATACTAGTTCCAGAAAAAGCGAACATCTCTCACCTCAGTGTCACCCTTTCCCATAATCTGCAACATTCCCTCCACATCAGATAATTCCTCCTGACTATTCACTTTAATCTTCCCAATTCCTTGATAACCTTCTTTTACTGATATCACAACTGGAAATGTAGTCGGTTCATGCTGAAAAATGTCTTCGACGAATTTCTATCCCAAAAAATCCCAACACTTCAAGAAAAGAGCCTTACAAATCTATGAAAATGAGGATAGTGTATTGTTGGTAGTAAAGGAATTCGTGTATTGTCCGCCAACACCAATTTACGCAACTGCTTCTTCTGAAATAAGGCTTGTACTTACCACAAGAAAAAAAGTTTTGCTGTGTTAATAAAACTATTCTCAGGTTGTCTTTGTTCCCTTTGCTTTTTTGTTGTTTTTTAATGTTAAGTGAACTTTTATGGGCTTCCAGTAAGAAATAATGAGTGCTAATCAGCGAGGAAAAGAGCAGCATTGCTTGGTTCTTCACTGGCTATCATCGCATTACTGTAGAGAAAATACGAATGGAAATTAATCTTATTTTCAATCAAAATTCTGCCTAGCTTCTAGGTAGTTGCTTTTTATAGCCGAAAGTGAAAATTCCTTTTAGAATAGGACTAGAGCTCATACAAGGTTGTTCTTATCCATAAAAGCTATCATTGACGTATGACTGTTGACAAATGGAATTCCAGCGGCGATCATAGCTCGGAGAATCGTCTTAGACTGTTGACTTCGTGTAGCTGATGGTCCAACAAATGCTGCATGAGGACAAAAGTTTCTGGAACAAAGATATTTTTCTTTTACAAGTTATGGCTCTAAATAACACCTGGTACTTCAGCTACATCACATTACCACGCTTTATGAAAGGGCGAATGTTGTGCAGTGGTTGGAACTGCGACACACGCGTGGAATCGATCCCCGCGCCCATGGCCCACCAAGCCTTCCATCCTTCCGGGGTTGGCAAATTGGTTCCAGACTTGTCTGGGAGGATAGCAGCACTGACTCGATATATCGGAAGGCCACTGCGAATCATTGTAATGGCCAGATATGCATTCAATAACCTCGAAACGATGCTTAATGAAGTCGAGTGCATGGCCATCTGTCAGGGATCGATCAACGCCAAGAGCTTTATCTTTTTATTCAGCTACATCACATTAACACGCTTTATGAATGGTTAGGCTTTCGATATGACTAGAAATAGAGTAGAAATAAGGATAAGGATAAGGGAAAAAAAGCATTTATATTGATTTAGCACTTAGGAATACGTTATGAATTCGACTTCGAAGAAGTGATAGAGGGCATATTTGGCCTCTATAAATGACTTGTGGGAGTCCATCGATGTATCAAGCCAATAACTTCAATTCGACTTCTATTGAGCTTCGGCATGGATATTCAACATCTTGCTTTATTTATGAACTGACATAAGGTTGTTACAAATTTTTAATCTGACCGTAGAGACGGTTTCATCTTCTTCAAAGCCACAATTATTCCAGCTAACGTTAATGTCAATCGATCAGTCACCGTTCCGTACTCTGGGGAACTGCGGGGTGAGGTCAGGTCACTCCAGGTGCCAACCCTTCTACTGAGAAGAGCAGTACTGGGTGGCACTAACTTCATTAAGGTGGTGTTCCAGTGGTGTTCTAATCGATTCGAGTGGATGTGATAATGAAGAGAATCCACATCGAAAGAATGGAGAACTGCTGTGAATACTTGACTCGAATCATCGCATCTCTGATGAAGGTGAGACAGTCGAAATGTTACCAGAAAAACTTTCTAACGACGCCATATAAATTTTTAAATGTAGCAAAGCATATCAAGCCAATGCTTTCACCCTTTCAGGAAAGGCTAGTACCAATTTGTGAATCCTGTGGAGATAGGAGGTTTGGTTAGGATGAAGCGAGACCGATTGGCTTTGTGTGCCTTGCAGAGCAGCTCTGACCTATATGCTGCACGCGCCATATAATACAGCAAGTAGTGATGCCTTATGAAAAAATAGTGAATGCAAAAATTTTGTTGGCACCTTGGATCGCGTCCGATCTGATTGATTTCCACGGTCAGGCTATGTTCGGTGCATAGCAAGTCGAGCTCAGGAAAGTCAGCCTGAAATCAGGATGTTTTTACTTCTAGAAACAAAAAATAGCTACCAAACGATAAACGTCAGAACCGAATCACCTGTTCGACACGTATTGGGAAATCGGATTGATTTCGGAAGTATTTAGACCTGAAAAAATTCATACCAATAGACATTCCTTACCACTATAATTAAAAAGGATAAAGGGATGCGCCATGCATTCGACTTCATTAAGCATCGTTGGAGGTGGTTGGATGCATTTCTGGCCTTTACAATAACTCGCGGTGGCCTACCGATGTATCGAGCCAGTGTTGGTATCCTCCCAGACAAGTCTGGTACCAATTTGCCGACCCAGGAGAGATGGAAGGCTTGGTGGGCCATGGAGGAGGGATCGATTCCAAGGTTTGGCGAATCCAACCACTGCGCCACACGGGCCCTAATATCAGTATAATTACAACGAAGGAACTGATTAAAGAAAAAGACATAAACAATTTGGACTAAAACCTCTAATTGATTTCCTCAGGTATAACGGAAATTGTCACCGTCATAGCGTCTTTCGAGGAATTTGAGCAATGACTACAAAATAGAGAGTTCAGAGTTCCTCAATCTTTTGGAGATGCGTCGCCATGCATTCGACTCCATTCTTAACATTGATGTTGTTGAATTCATATTAGGCGTAGTGCTGGGGCCTCCGATATATCTAATCAGTGTTTTCCATTGTCCCCGACAAGTGTGATGTCAATTTGCTCACCACGGAGAGATGAAGAAAGGGCGAAGAAGCGGACCGAGGACCAGGTGTGTATTACAAAGCATCATTAACCAATACGTTACACACTCGCACTGTATTATTTTATAAAACAAGCAAGTGTATTAAAATTTTACCAGTCTATGACATGACTGTCGATAACGAGCAGCACTTTGGCATTCGGCGGCATGACCGGTGCTGCCCGGGTGCGGTCGTTTTGCAAGGAGCGTTCGACGGCGGCTGCCAGAGTTTCCGTAGACCTCGCTGGTGATGCTGGTGCACTGGAACACTGAATTAATACACATACTTGCAACGAAATAAACATTAACGGATAAAAATTATGGCAGCGACAAAAAGAATTTAGTGCTCCTAACAAGATATACGTGTATCACTAATCATACTAAACAACTACTTGGCGAACTGGCCATAAAGAGTGGGTTATTCGAACTCACAACGATCTCTTTGACTCATATATAAGTATGCAAACCGATTAACAGATCTTTGCCGGGCATGGCCGGCTAGCATCGGGATGGAACTCCTAACCATACATGCAATAGTGACCTTCTTTGCAGTATGCCACCAGAATCAGATAGGATTTCGCAGCACTAAGAAATGAAGTGGAAATCAGCTAGCTCAAATTTGTAGTAGCACCAATGTATTGCTCATTTCTTCAAATTTATTTAAATTTTCAAAAGCACGACGAGCTCATCACCTCTAACGAGATTATGAAGCGAAAAGTTTTTGAGAATTCCCCAAAGGAGGAAATTAATGCCATCAAGCTGTTCCATCATTTTTTGTGTTTATCCATTAATTTCAATTAATTTCCACTAAGCATGAAAAGACTATGTATGTAACTCCCACGTCCGACTTTCTATTAACCTCGGCATTGATTGAATAATTCCTTCTACTTCTATTCAGCAAACACGAGGTGCTATTTTATTTCTTTATTTACGTACAAGCTGACGTTTCGGCGGATTTCGCCTTCCTCAGAGCCTGGAAAGGTCAAGTTGACTACAATCTACTCGGCCAAACACCTCCATAACCAATCAGAGCAAATGCTGAACCAAGATTTCAATCACATTGAACACAGAATAGCTTCTTTGTACAGTATGTCGCGTCGATACCAACCGCACACAATTCGCATGGAAGCGTAATGTGCCCCACCCATCAGGATAACCGGCTTATATACTGCCCAATATCATACGTGATGATGAGGCATTCTTCCCTGCGGTTCATTTTCGGATTTCTGGAATTAATCCAGAGTGCCTCGAGAGTTTTTCGCGCCTGTGTTCTTGATTCGCGTGCGAGGATCGTGACACATACTTCAAAGTCCTCCCCGTTATGTCTCTAGGTCCTATGCGTGCCTAGCGGGGTATTTGGTCTATGTTTGCCGGCTAGGTGTTCTTTTATGCGGACACAGAGGGGTCTGTCAGTTTCGCCAATGTATTATTACAGGAAATCAAATAAACTGTATCCGAGCTCATGCAATCCCCGTCTCTACCCTACAGGCAAATTATGTAATTCCGCGTTGCACATAGACGGTCATGTAGGTGGTTACGAACTAGCTGGAACCTAAGATTACTCGGTGGTATTTCAACTACGTTTACCGAATTCTCTAGACCCGCCCTTCTTATGCAGCGTTTTATAGTTCCACTTACATCATTTGAGATGAACGGTAGGATAAACGGAACCTTTTTATCGTTAAAGTTATCGTTGGGGTGCCTGTGGTTTCCTCTACACCTATCCCGAGCTACAGTTTCGTAACCATTAGAAACGGCTATTTGCCGCACCAAGTTCCGGGACTCCTCTCTCTGCTCTCTTCCCCTGCACACGTTAGTTGCTTTTCGAAACATGTTTCTTATAAGCGCCTTTTCGTGTCTGAAGGGTGAGAGGAGAGGTAATGAGCTAGGATGTCTTTACTACTTGGCTTTCGACACCATTTCGTAATGTAGCCGTTTTCTGATGGGTTACGTTCAGAAATGGGAGCCAGTTTTCTTTTGGTTTCTCTCGGGTGAATTTAATATACTCTGACTGTTCGTTCAACAACTATGTATGTATTTACTATGTTTTACTATTTACTTCTGTATGTATGTGTTCTCATGCAAGTAGATTTTTCTAAGAACATCTTCAAGTGGTAAATGTTCCACTTTTTTCACTTCAGATTCCTGCATCTCGTCTTATTCATTCAATTTTTTACACTAATTCAAAACCTCTATTCAGAAAAATATTGATTTATTTGATCTGATCTAAAAATATTGAGAAATATTGTCAAAAATATAAAAGTGTATTAAATAAAAGGATAAAGAACGTAAAGCATTCGGCTTTGGTCAATCGTTGACGGGTGTGTCATGCATTCGACTCCATTCGTAGCACCATGGAATTCACTGAATGCATATTTGGCTCTCGTAATGCCTTGTGGTCGCATGCTGATGTATAACATCAACCCAGCGTTTTTACTTTTCCAGTGAAATCTGGTAACAATTCCCTGATCATGTAGTGATGGCGGTGTTGATTAGGACAGTCGAAGCATATGCAAAGAAAAACAATGATTTTCAAACCGACCGTCATTTAACCTCAGTAGTAAGTTAGGCAGTCTCACTCAGCACCGCTACAGGATGATTGCCGCTGACATGACTATCCGTTGATAATAATTTGTTTCTGAATAGATAATCCATGGGATTCATGGGTTCCTTTCTTCGAGCGGTGTTCCAGTGAAGAACATCTGCCGCAGTACGACGATGAAGACGCCACATCGAGAAGACGAACGACTGTGAACCATCGACTCGGATCATCAGCTCTGATGAAGGCGAACACTTCGAAACGTTAGCCGAATGAAACTTATATAACAACCTCGTGTAAGATTAGCAATCCAAGAAGGTAATATTTGTTTTTCAACGGATAATCCATCTTGCAGCTGTCGGTATTATGTCAGCTAGCACATAGCGTATAGCAAAATAATTATTTTCAAACCGACCGTCATTTAACCGCTGCATTAATAAACACTAGCTGTTAGCTTAAAAATCGAAAAAATGCAAAGAACTCCCTCTCTGCAATATAAGTTCGATGGTTCTAGTTCGGCTATCTGAGGACCCCAGCTAGATTAACCTACACCAGCATTCACCAGCATTCATAGAAGGAAAATTTTCAAACAACAGCCGAACCCAAACGCGGAAAGTTGGACGATTTTGTGTATGTATGTTACGAGGAAAACGTGTGTTGAGACATCTCAAACCATTGCGCCATAGGAGCTCGAATGAATAAGAAGAGAATAAGTAAAAAAGTTTTGCGGAAATGGCAAAAATGAAAGCAGGCAGCAAATCATTAGCTCACATATTTAGAAAACTGAAAGTCTAAAAACGATATAAACGATATAAACTACCAGTAGAGGTCAAAGAATAACGATTTCTGTGTTAACTAATCCCTGATGTTGCTTCTACCGATCTATCATTATTCAAGGTTAGACCCACCATCAGCTATATAGATGGGCCAACGGCCAAGAATAACATGGTTTTGAACCGTTATACTTACCCAATACGGCGCATGTGGTGCAGTGGTCGGAGGCGCCCGGGAATACACATGAAATCGACCCCCGCTCCGCAGACTCAACAAGCCTTCCATCCCTCCGGGGTCGGCAAATTGGTACCAGACTTGTCTAGCCGGATAGCAGCACTGACTCGATACATGGGTAGGCCACCGGAGGTCATTGTAAAGGGCAGATATACATTCAATCGCTTCCAGTGGTGCTTAGTGAAGTTGAAAGCATAGCACATCCCTTAGAGATTGATCAACGTCGAGAGCTTTATCCTTTCTAGCTTTTTATACTTAACCAGTTGTTGAAACACATTCCAGCCCACCTCATGTACACCCAAATGTTTCCCGATCGACTATGTGACGAGCGTCCTAACAGGGTGTAGGTGATGGAGTCCTTCGACGATACAGCCCATTACACTAGCGTGTGGAATGCCTCCGCAAAACAAATCATCCGCAAGTTCCTTATGCAAGCAGCTCGTGGCATTCCTAAAGAAGTACCCAAACTACTCAATCTTCAGATAGTCCGGAAAATACGGCGCACCAAATTAGAGGGTTGTCGATGGGATAGCGACTGACACGCAGCCTTGTCATCAAGTTCAATTCTAAAATAGAGGCTGCAGTACTCGAACTTCGAGCATTACTCTACTGAAGATATATCGATGATCGTTTCGTCATCTCCTCCACAGAAGAGGAGATGGACAACCGTTTAAAATTATTGTACGAACAGTCAGAGTATATAAAGTTCAACCAAGTGAAACGGAAACATAAAGAGTTCCCATTTCTTCCATTTCAGTATTCTTGAGGTATTAAGTATCAACTCACGTTCCTGCTGGATAACAGAGTGCTGAGAGCCCTGTCAAATCGAAAAGATGAGCACGAATTTTTAGGTCCTTTAGTCGGTTGGTGGCATGAGAGGTGAAAATGTGGTCCACGCTATTGTGCTTCCTCTGCGTGATTCCTTCAGGTTGCTTTCCTCCTTCAGGTTGCTTTCTGCGCTCATTTTCCGCCGAAGGTACACGTACGAAGTGGCCTCTGTAATCAAAATAGCATCCAGCTAAGTATGTTCGTCTTCGCAATATGGCTTTTCCAAGAATGGAGCTTTCCTCCGATTTGTACGCAGCTCGGCATTTTTCCCGCTTTGTTGACTCATTGATCATCGTCTCTGCTTCGTTGGTACTTCTTAACAGCATGACGATACTGTCGGCTAAACGAAGATTTGAAAAGAATTTTCAATACGTTAGGGTTTTTCGAGTGACTTCATTATCCGCTGGAATGTTGCAGAAAGCAGAAATAGGAAACATGGTGTCGCGTTGCCGAACCCTTTTTCTGTAGAAGGTCGGCAAGAGGTCGACCCAAAAGTTGTAATTTTGTGGCTGTGGTTAAAGTGGCGTGTCAGAAAAACTTGGAAAATAGCTAAAACCTTTAAAAAAACTTAAAGTGAAAAATTAGAAACCCTACCGCTTGTTTTGTTAAACGATGCAATAGGTACACTCGTGATTAAAAAGGTAAAGGATGAAGCTCTCGGCGTTGATCAAACCTTGAGGGATGCCCCATGCATCCGACTTCGTTAAGTGTCGTCGGAGATGAATGAATGCATATCTGGCCTTTACAATGACTCGCGGTGTCCTACCGATGTATCGAGCCAGTGCTGTTATCCTCCCAGACAACTCTGGTACCAATTTGCCGACTCCGGAGGGATGGAAGACTTGGTGGGCCATCGGATGGATTCCACGTGTGTGTCGCAGTGGCGCCTCCAACCACTGCCCCACACGCGCCCATGCGCTTGCGCACTTG